CTACGTTGAGAACTTCATTTTTTATGGTGAGGTATTGTCAAAACTAGAAAAAGAATGAAACTTTGTTAGAATTGCAATGTTATCTCAACTAGACGTTGTCAAGCAAAATCCAGTTATGTCTTACTTATATACAGTCTATGTACTCGAAAAGCCATCAAAGTTTTTATTTCGAACGTCTAGTCGCTCCTGACACGGATCCGTTTTAAATGCATTCAGTTTCTTTATAAAGGAAGAAATTTCCATCTAATAAGCAATTATATCTTCCATAGCTTAATTTACTGCCCTATGGTCACAAGAAGACCGAAAGTATTGCAGCTAATCTGTATAAACAAGCCAGTGACAACTATAGACTTCATTCTTTAACCAGCTGGTGCTATTAAAAACGTTTTGGGACATTTTTAAAGAAAATGATTATCATCAACATATCGGAATTCTCATCAAGAGTCAAAAGCACCGCATGAAAAAAAAGCTGCTTTTGTAATCTTATATTCCCTTATCGATAGAAATGATTTTTGACAGTAACGATACCAATGTCTGAAGCTGTGTCTCGGTTTTTCAGTGCATTTTTAATACAAAAGCAGTATAAAGCAAACGCCATCTTAATATGAGTACTCATTATAGGTGTTCTGCGTGCATATATTTTGTAAGAAACAAATTGTGAACACACAATAACGAGCCAAAAAATGAATTAACAACTAAACATGCAAAGTTATAATATATAACAGTGTGTTACTTTTTAATTCATAACTTTTCAATATTCTATTATGTTCGCCTATCACCTGAATCCTTTGAAGCTTGTGATGCTGAACCGGGTGTTGTACGATTTGAAGACGTGCCTGACTGACCGCTTGTACCCTAGAAAATCCAAAAATAACATGCATTATTGAACAAATAACATGCATTACGCACGGTAATCGGCCAAGATGAACGTTTATTGTAGAAACACAGAAATAGGCAAAGTTAATTTAACGATACTAAATGAGTTACTTACAGCTGCACCACTGCTTATTGACTTTGAACCATATGTAGCTGTACTAGCACCACTATGAGTATTCACCGTTGATTGTCCACCGCCATCAGTCATTGAACCTTCCACACCCCTCGAACCAAATGTTGAGTCGCCAATAGCTGTTTTATCATGAGTACTTGTGGGATCACCGCCATCATTTTGATTTGAAGACATTATGTGTGTGTATATATGTATATTCACTTTTTAAAATATAATATTAACGTGTATTTTCCGTGACAAATTTCTCACTATACTTCTGCTTTCTACAGGCGCAGCATTTATATATATATATATATATAAAAGATTATTCAGTACTTTTCTTGTCTTCAGTGAAAGAGAAAAAAGAATATGAGCCTCATCTTTTTTTGTCTTCTTTCTGTTGTGTTCTTCACAAACGAAATCATTAAAGTGTACTGTCTGAACTTTGTTGTAAAGCATTCAGAAGACAATGGCGTTACTTAAGAAAATCCCCTTCATTCGTTTGATAGAAAGACTGCAAAAAAAAACGAAAAAAGAAACGTGTCGAATGATCACTTTTTCATTCACGAGGCCATTATTACTACACGTACGTTAAAGGAGATAAAAAAAAAAGAATATCAGGAATAAATTTCGCCTTGATAGAGAAAAATGGCCATCCATTTTTTGGATAAAATGTTTGAAACATCCACAGTGGTATCAGCTCATAAAATGTCGATAAACTAAACAAAATATTTTCGACTGTGACGTAACATCCACAGTGGTATCAGCTCATAAAATGTCGATAAACTAAACAAAATATTTTCGACTGTGACGTAACATAAATGTTTTTCTTTTATTTAGGATATTCTGATATTCGATGTTTTCGATTAAATTCATATAAAAAAACTATTTATATTATCCATTTCAATGTTTTTCTAATAAGTTTCCATAGAAATGAGCTAGAGATCTTTGATTTTCAGGAATAGAAAGTGGAATGTTGGTACTATCAACTCCTGGAAAAACGCAATTAGAATTACCATATGCAAACTGATGCATCTCGCTGGAACATTTACAAAAGATTTCCCTACACTAGAAAAGTTCTTTATTTTGGATGCCGAGAAGTGGGTTCCTACCAAGAGACATCTCTCTACACGACAATTAAATGGTAACATCTGAATGTTTTGGAGCCGTACGAATAAAACTGAATTTCTCCACGTAA